TCCCTCTATGCCCACTTTCTGGACAGTTTTTATCATAAATTGGTGTTGAATTTTGTCAAAAGCTTTTTCTGCATCTATTGAAATGATCATATGGTTTTTATTCTTCAATTTGTTAATATGGTGCATTACATTGATTGACTTGTGTATATTGAAGAATCCTTGCATCCCTGGGATAAAACCCACTTGATCATGGTGTATTATCCTTTTAATGTGCTGTTGGATTCTGTTAGCTATCATTTCGTTGAGGATTTTTGCATCTACTTTCATCTGTTATATTGGTCTGTAATTTTCATTTTTGGAGTATCTTTGTCTGGTTTTGGTATCAGGGTGATGGTGGCCTCATAGAATGAGTTTGGGAATGTTCCTTCCTCTGCAATTTTTTGGAAGAGTTTGAGAAGGATGGGTGTTAGCTCTTCTCTGAATGTTTGATAGAATTCACCTGTGAAGCCATCTGATCCTGCACTTTTGTTTGTTGGGAGATTTTTAATCAGTTTCAATTCCATTACTTGTGATTGGTCTGTTCATATTTTCTATTTCTTCCTGGTTCAGTCTTGGAAGGTTACAACTTCCTAAGAATTTGCCCATTGCTCATGTTTTCCATTTTATTGGCACAGAGTTGCTTGTCATAGTCTCTTATGATGCTTTGTATTTCTGTGGTGTCCATTGTAACTTCTCCTTTTTCATTTCTAACTCTATTGATTTGAGTCCGCTCTTTCTTTTTCTTGATGAGTCTGGCTAAAAGGTTTATCAATTTTGTTTATCTTCTCAATGAACCAGCTTTTCATTTTATTGAGCTTTGCTATTGTTTTGTTTCTACTTCATTTATTTCTGCTCTGATCTTTATGATTTCTTTCCTTCGTCTAACTTTGGGTTTTGTTTGTTGTTCTTTCTCTAGTTCCTTTAGGTGTAAGGTTAGATTGTTTATTTGAGATTTTTTTTGTTTCTTGAGGTAGGATTCTATTGCTATAAGCTTCCCTCTTAGAACTACTTTTGCTGCATTCCATCGGTTTTGGATCATCGTGTATTCATTGTCATTTTGTCTCTAGGTATTGTTGATTTCATCCTTGATTTCTCCAGTGATCTCTTGGTTGTTTAGTAACGTATTTTTACCTTTCATGTGTTTGTGTTTTTTCCTTTTTTCCTTGTAATTTGTTTCTAATCTCATAACGTTGTGGTCAGAAAAGATGCTTGATGTGATTTCAATTTTCTTAAATATACCGAGGCTTGATTTGTGACCTAAGATGTTATCTATCCTGTAGAATGTTCCATGTGCACTTGAGAAGAAAGTGTAATCTGCAGCTTTTGAATGGAATGTCCTATAAATATGAATTAAATCTATCTGGTCTATTATGTCACTTAAAGCTTGTGTTTCCTTATTAATTTTCTGTCTGGATGATCTGTCCATTGGTGTAAGTGAGGGTTAAAGTCCCCCACTATTATTGTGTCACTGTTGATTTCCTCTTTTATGGCTGTTAGCATTTGCCTTATGTATTTAGGTGCTTCTATGTTGGGTGCATATATATTTATAATTGTTATGCCTTCTTCTTGGATTGCTCCCTTGATCATTATGTAATGTCCTTCCTTGTCTCTTGTAACATCATTTATTTTAAAGTCTATTTATCTGATATGAGTATTGCTATTCTAGCTTTCTTTTGATTCCTATTTGCATGGAATATCTTTTTCCATCCCCTCACTTTCAGTCTCTGTGTGTCCCTAGGTCTGAAGTGGGTCTCTTGTAGACAGCATATATATGGGTCTTGTTTTTGTATTCATTCAGCAAGCCTGTGTCTTTTGGTTGGAGCATTTAATCCATTTACGTTTAGTGTAATTATTGATATCTTTGTTCCTATTACCATTTTCTTAATTGTTATGAGTTTGTTTTTGTAGGTCCTTTTTTTTTTTTTTTTTGCCGTACGCGGGCCTCTCACTGTTGTGGCCTCTCCTGTTGAGGAGCACAGGCTCTGGACATGCAGGCTCAGTGGCCATGGCTCATGGGCCTAGCCGCTCCATGGCATGTGGGATCTTCCCGGACCAGGGCATGAACCTGTGTCTCCTGCATAGGCAGGCGGACTCTCAACCACTGTGCCACCAGGGAAGCCCTGTAGGTCCTTTTCTTCTCTTGTGATTCCCACTCAGAGAAGTTCCTTTAGCATTTGTTGTAGAGTTGGTTTGGTGGTGCTGAATTCTCTTATCTTTTGCTTGTCTGTAAAGCTTTTGATTTCTCTGTTGAATCTGAATGAGATCCTTGCTGGATAGGGTAATCTTGGATGTAGATTCTTCCCTTTTATCCCTTTTAATATATCATGTCACTGCCTTCTGGCTTGCAAAGTTTCTGCTGAAAAATCAGCTGTTGACCTTATGGGAGTTCCCTTGTATGTTATTTGTCGTTTTTCCCTTGTTGCTTTTAATAATTTTTCTTTGTCTTTAATTTTTGTCAATTTAATTACTATGTGTCTTGGTGTGTTTCTCCTTGCATTTATCCTGCCTGGGACTCTGCCCTTCCTGGACTTGGGTGGCTATTTCCTTTCCCATGTTAGGGATGTTTTTGACTATAATCTCTTCAAATATTTTCTTGGGTCCTTTCTCTCTTAGTTTTCCTTCTGGTACCCCTATAATGCGAATGTTTTTGCGTTTAATGTTGTCCCAGAGGTCTCTTAGGCTGTCTTCATTTCTTTTCATTCTTTTTTTCTTTTTTTTCCACATCTTTATTGGAGTATAAATGCTTTACAATGTTGTGTTAGTTTCTGCTGTATAACGAAGTGAATCAGCTATATGTATACATATATCCCCATATCCCCACCCTCTTGAGCCTCCCTTCCACCCTCCCTATCCCATCCCTCTGGGTCGTCACAAAGCACTGAGCGGATCTCCTTGTGCTATGCAGCTGCTTCCCTCTAGCCATCCGTTTTACATTTGGTAGTGTATATATGTCAGTGCTACTCACACTTCATCCCAGCTTTCCCTCTCCGCCATGCCCTCAAGTCCATTCTCTACGTGTGCGTCTTTATTCCTGACCTGCCACTAGGTTCATCAGTACTGCTCTTTAAAATTCCGTATATATGCATTAGCATACAGTATTTGTTTTTCTCTTTCTGACTTACTTCACTCTGTATGACAGATTCTAGGTCCATCCACCTCACTACAGATAACTCAATTTTGTTCCTTTATATGGCTGAGTAATAATCTATTTCATTCTTTTTTCTTTATTTTGTTCTGCGGCAGTTAATTCCACCATTCTGTCTTCCAGTTCACTTATCCATTCTTCTGCCTCAGTTATTCTGCTATTCATTTCTTCTAGTGTATTTTTCTTTTCAGTTATTGTATTGTTCATCTCTATTTTTTGGTTCTTTAATTCTTCTAGGTCTTTGTTAAACATTTCTTGCATCTTCTCCATCTTTGCCTCCATTCTTTTTTTGAGGTTTTGGATCATCTTCATTATCATTATTCTGAATTTTTTTTAATGGAAGATTGCCTATCTACACTTCATTCAGTTGTTTTTCTGGTGTTTTATCTTGTTCCTTCATCTGGTACATAGTCCTCTGCCTTTTCATTTTGTCTGTCTTTTCGTGAATGTGGTTTTTGTTCCACAGGCTGCAGGATTGTAGTTCTTTTTGCTTCTGCTGTCTGCCCTCTGGTAGATGAGTCTATATAAGAGGTTTCTGTAAGCTTCCTGATGGGAGAGACTGGTAGTAGGTAGAGCTGGTGTTGCTCTGGTGGGCAGAGCTCAGTAAAACTTTAATCCACTTGTCTGCTGATAGGTAGGGCTGAGTTCCCTCCCTGTTGGTTGTTTGGCCTGAGGTGACCCAGCACTGGAGGCTACATGTTCTTTGGTGGGGCTAATGGTGGACTCCGGGAGGGCTCCTGCCAAGGAGTACTTCCCAGAACTTCTGCTGCCAGTGTCCTTGTCCCCGTGGTGAGCCACAGCCACCCCCTGCCTCTGCAGGAGACCCTCCAACACTAGCAGGTAGGTCTGGTTCTCCTATGGGGTCACTGATCCTTCCCCCTGGGTCCTGATGTGCACACTGGTTTGTGTGTGCTCTCCAGGAGAGGAGTCTCTGTTTCCCCCAGTCCTGTCTATTTCCTGCAATCAAATCCTGCCAGCCTTCAAAGTCTGCCTCTCTGGGAATTCCCCCTCCTGTTGCCAGACCCCCAGGTGGGCAATCATGACATGGGGCTCAGAACCCTCACTCCAGTGGGTGGTATAATTGTTCTCCAGTTTGTGAGTCACCCACCCAGCGGTTATAGGATTTGATTTTATTGTGATTGCACCCCTCCTACCATTTCATTGCAGCTTCTCCTTTGTCTTTAGATATGGGACATCTTTTTTGGTGAGTTCCAGTGTCTTCCTGTCGATGATTTTGAGCAGTTAGTTGTGATTCCGGTGCTCTTGCAAGAGGGAGTGAGCACACATCCTTCTACTCCTCCATCTTGAACCAATCTACCATATATGTTCTTTACAACCACTCATATCCTTCTGCCATGGATTCAGCTCCCAACTTTCAGTTGATGGCTAACAAATTCTCATCTCCTTTCTTCATACCTCCAGCTGCATAGTGGACATTTCCATCTGGAAGTCTTAGAAATATCAAATTTTGCATGTTCAAGTTTTCATACCTCTCCTCCTTCCTCCAGCTTTATTTCTCCTCCTTCCCCACTATTTTCATGTCCTCTTTCTTACTAGATTACATAATTGCTTGGACACGTTCTGAGCCAGTTACCTATGAATCATGTCTATGTCATCTCTGTCACAGCCTAGTATAAATCAGTGACCACTATTTCCAGCTTCCTGAATAATAGATGATGAATTCATCAGTTTGCTGATTCAGTAATTAACATACTTCTACAGGATATTTCTATTACAGTATATTTTCCCCTATAGTATAAATACAAAATTACGTAAATATGCAAGCCTGATATATGGTATCTGATCAGCTAAATGGGTTCTTAGATGTTTTGACCACAGTGTTTAGTTTTGATGACTTCAAATTGTCTTTTTACAGGGAACAGTAACATTTAAGGATGTGGCTGTGGACCTCACCCAGGAGGAATGGCAGGAAATGAAACCTGCTCAGAGGGACTTGTACCGTGATGTGATGCTGGAGAACTATAGCAACCTAGTCACAGTGGGTAAGGGTAACTTTGCAATTTTACACAGAATTCTTTTCTATCTTTGAAATCTGTGACGACTTCAACTTGCCAGATGTCTTTAACTAGCCTTCCCTTTCTTCAGTTCATTGTATGTGCTTGTCTTTAGGGTAAAGGCTAATTACTTTGTCTCACTGTGGAAGTTCCTCCATCCTCATCTTTCATAGGCCCTCAAGTCCCCAGGACTCAACCCAAGGTCTGGATGGTTGTCTCCAGCATTAATATCCAAGTCCTTTGTTGTCTTTCATAATAGGCTGCCAAGTCACCAAACCAGATGTGATCTTCAAGTTGGAGCAGGAAGAGGAGCCATGGGTGATAGAAGAAGAAATGCTTGGGAGGCCCTGTCCAGGTGAATAAGTGAAAATGCAGGTCTGAATGAGAAAGACACATGACAGTTGTTCAGGGGGTTGATACCATTTCACATTTTCCAAGATTTGCTTAAGTCTTCTACAGTGACAAAAGGTATGAATGCCTTGGATTATGGTGACACTTCCAAATACTGTATTGAAGCTATCTTCCTTTTTTTCAAATTTTAGATACCAAAACTTCCCTAGTTCATTTACAGTGTTACTTTAGGATTAGTGTACCTCTCTATGATCCTTAAGCTCTCTCTTTGCTTTGTGTTCATAGGGTTTTTTATTATGCATTCAATATTTTGTGGATGTATAGTATTTTCAAAACATATTTGTTTCAGAGTTAGATTCCTTTTCTTTCTATTTTGAAAAGCCTCAGATTTGTTTTGTAACAATACTCTTTCCATTGTACTTCACAACTCTCACAATCCCACATAGGTTTAAAAGTTTTTGGCTTACAAATTGTTACCTCCTTCCTGCTTATTTACACCTTCCATTCCTTTAATTTTTTTGAAATGCAATGTATGCACACTTAGTTAAAAAATATAAACAGTCCATGAGATAACATTGAAAAGTGAGTGTCTCTTACCCTTGACACTCAGTCCCTTTCTTTTCCCAGTTGAGTACACTTTTTTTTTTAGAGTTGTGCTGGCTATTCTTATTTTTGTTTTGTTAATTTTATTTACTTATTTGTGTCTGCGTTGGGTCTTTGTTGCTGCGCGTGGGCTTTCTCTAGTTGCAGCGAGCAGGGGCTACTCTTCATTGTGGTGCATGGGCTTCTCATTGCGGTTGCTTCTTGTTGCAGAGCACAGGCTGTAGGCGCATGGGCTTCAGTGGTCGTGGCACACAGTCTCAGTAGTTGTGGCTCGTTGGCTCTAGAGCACAGGCTCAGTAGTTGTGGCGCATGAGCTTAGTTGCTCTGCAGCATGTGGGATCTTCCCAGACCAGGGCTCGGACCAGTGTCCCCTGCATTGGCAGGTGGATTCTTCACCACTGTGCCACCACAGAGGCCCTATGCTGTCTATTCTTGATTGTTTATTTCACCATAAGAATTTTACATTCAACTGTCTCTTTCCAGAGAAAAACCTGTTGGATTTTTTGGTGGGAATGTGTTAGAAGCATAAATTAACTTTCAGAGTGCTGACATCTTTATAACGTCGAGGTTTTCTATCCAAGAACGTGTTCTCTGTCTTTGTTCAGATCTGTCTATTTTTGCGTCCTTCAGAAATGCTTTCCAAGGTTTCCTTTATACCTTTTGTAAGTTTCTTACTAAGTTTATACCTAAGTAACAGACAAGAGAAAAAAATCAGTACTAGAAGAATTGGAAAGGACCCTGTAAAACCATCTTTATTTATAGATGATAAGATTATTCCCTTAAAACACAAGAGAATCAACTGCAACAAATAGTAAGAGAATCCAGTGATATGGTAGGGTATCAAATTAACAAATAAAAATCAGTAGTTTTCATGTATACTTCAACAACCGAGTAGAAGATATAAGGAAAAGGAAACCACATTTATAGTCATAACAATATGATAAAATACTATTCTGGGCATGGGCTCATGAAGCTTCTAATTTAGTGGGAACTGGAGTCCCTGAGGTTTTGCAAACAAGCAAATATCTTTTTTAAAAAAACTTAAAAAAAAAAAAAAACCTTTATATTTAGTTGATAGTTGGCTGTGTATAAAATTCTTGAGCCATACTGTCTTTCCTAGAGGTTTTGTAGACAGTTCCCTGAAGACTTTAGATAGTCCTCTGCTGCCTCTTGGCTTTGAATTGTTGTTTGGAGAAATCTGAAGCCTGATTGTTTTCCCTCATAGGTGACTTAATTTATTTGCCTAGATGCCCATAGGTTTGTTTTTCTTGAAAGCTTTAGAACTTTATGAGGCTTATTGATCAGTCAATATCAGTTTTTCCTGTAAGCTTATATATTCATGTTTTTTGATTCTTGTAGTGTGGTATAGATCTGAATACTGGTTCCTTTTATAACTATCATTCCTCATCTTTTTTTTTTTTTTTTTTTTTTTGCGGTACACGGGCCTCTCACTGTTGTGACCTCTCCCATTGCGGAGTACAGGCTCTGGATGCGCAGGCTCAGCGGCCATGGCTCATGGGCCCAGCTGCTCCGCGGCATGTGGGATCTTCCCAGACTGGGGCACGAACCCGTGTACCCTGCATTGGTAGGCAGACTCTCAACCACTGCACCACCAGGGAAGCCCCATTCCTCATCTTTGAATAAGGTTATTTCCTGCTGGACCCACTATTTACAGAAGGAGAGTGCTGGAGATTGTCTAGAAAAATACTCTTGAGCTAGTAGGAAGCCTCTGTTGCTCTGTTGACTTCCTCTGTCATACAAGGTTTGGTGTTAAGAGTTGGTTTGCCCTTTACTTCTTGTGAATCAGAGATTATTAATTGCATGCTTCCTCTAGCACTCAGTATCTCTTCTACCCTCCTATGCCAGCATCCTGCTTATACAAGAATAATGGCTATTTGCCTCTCCTTGTATAGTTCTGCCTTCCCTACCATTTGACAGGGCCAGTAGAAGACCATTATGTTCCTGCCACCATGCAGTCTTAACACATCTGGATTCCACTGTTTTAAAAAATGACTCATTCATTCTGTCCACAGGGTGTTCCCTCTGTTTTGGAGAACTCTCACCATGCTTTCTGTCTAAGATAAGAAAGAACAGCCAGTATCTGGGTTTCTTCCCTACCTGGTTCAGTGTACCCTCTGGTCTTTCCTTATACTCTGGAATTGGAGTTTAGCTGTCTTTTAGTTTTATTGAGGATATATTTTCTTTTCTGTTTCTTCTTCATGTTTGCAGAGAGGGGAGGACACAGAGGTGTTTAATTCCATTATATTGAAACAGGAATTCCTCTTCTATATTTGATCCTGTGGATCACGCTTCCTGGAAATGTCTTTTTTTCTCTAAAGGATTCTGATTTCTCCTCAGTTCCTGTTTATTTTTTCTTATTCCTTTATGAACTGTGTTTTACATTACTCCTTTTCTCCAGCCCTCACTGAGCATTATCCAAAATAGTTCTAAATTACATATAGACTCCTTTTTCCTTTATGTATCTTCATGATATAGATGTGTTCATGCCTTCAAATCAGTATATAACTCCAGGCTTTAAATTAATCCTCTGTTTTTCAGCCCCACTCTTATCCCTGCCTTTTAAGTACCTAAATCCTCCAATTTTTGAGCTTTTCTAGTGTTTTGTTGTCAAATCACATTTGCATCTTCGTAGCACAAAACTTGAATTTCTTAGCTAAGCTATCAGTTGACAGTTTTCTTACCCTTTTGCCTTCCAGTATTATGTTGAAATGTCTTGTTTACCCTTCTTTTTACTCCTATTTTCTTTGTTCTTATGGGTTTAAATCTTTATTTTTTACTGTCATTTCAATGGAATTTTAAGAAGTGGGAGAAATAAACATATACATTCGATCTGTTTTGTTTAACCACAAGTGTTAATTTTATGCTCTAGTCATTTGACTTGCTATCCAGTCATTTATGTGTTTGCCCTTTCATCTTAATTATTCTATTCATTTTACTGATATCTGCATTGTATGTTTTTTAAATCAATCAGAGCAGCTTGGGCCTATTAATGGCAGTTTTCTCTCCATAATATTATCTATAGGAGTTAACTTCTCAAATCTTAGAAACTAGGGACATTTGCACTTTGGATTTCTTTCATATTGGGAGACTAGAGCCAATATCAAAGATCAACCCCACTTTGACAAATTTCTGAAATGTTATCAATAATGCAGTAGGAGAAAAATTCAAAAGTTATAATTTTTGGTCCTCCATTTTAGAAGTTTGGGAAGATGATGAACAGATCAAGGAGCAGCAGGAAACACTTGTGAGGAAAGTCACATCCATCTCCAAGAAAACTCTAATTAAGGAAAGTGTCATTGAATGTAAAAAAGTTGCAAAAGTATTTCCTCTGGGCTCAGACATTGTTACTTCAAGACAAAACTTCTATGAATATGACTCATTTGATAAGGGTTTTGAACATAATTTAGACTTACTTAGTTATGAGAAAGGCTGTATAAGAGAGAAAAATTATGAGTCTAATAAATATGGGAAACCATTTTACCATTGCTCATCGCATGTTGTAACCCCCTTTAAGTGTAATCAGTGTGGACAAGACTTTAATCATAAATTTGACCTCATCAGACATGAGAGAATTCATGCTGGAGAGAAACTGTATGAATGTAAGGAATGTGGAAAAGCTTTCAGTAGGAAGGAAAATCTTATTACACATCAAAAAATTCATACTGGGGAAAAACCATATAAGTGTAATGAATGTGGAAAAGCTTTCATTCAAATGTCAAACCTTATTAGACACCAGAGAATTCATACTGGAGAAAAACCTTATGCATGTAAGGATTGTTGGAAGGCCTTCAGTCAGAAATCAAATCTCATTGAACATGAGAGAATTCATACTGGAGAAAAACCCTATGAATGTAAGGAATGTGGAAAAGCCTTTAGCCAGAAGCAAAATCTTATTGAGCATGAGAAAATTCATACTGGCGAGAAACCTTATGCATGTAATGAATGTGGTAGAGCTTTTTCTCGAATGTCATCTGTTAATCTGCATATGAGAAGTCACACAGGGGAGAAACCCTATAAATGTAATAAATGTGGAAAAGCCTTCTCTCAATGCTCAGTATTTATTATACATATGAGAAGTCATACAGGTGAGAAACCCTATGTATGCAGTGAATGTGGGAAAGCCTTCTCTCAAAGTTCATCCCTTACTGTACATATGAGAAATCATACAGCTGAGAAACCCTATGAATGTAATGAATGTGGAAAAGCCTTCAGCCGGAAAGAAAATCTCATTACACATCAAAAAATTCATACTGGAGAGAAACCTTATGAATGTAATGAATGTGGGAAAGCTTTTATTCAGATGTCAAACCTCATCCGACACCAGAGAATTCATACTGGTGAAAAACCCTATGCGTGTACAGTATGTGGGAAAGCCTTTAGTCAGAAATCAAATCTCACTGAACATGAGAAAATTCATACTGGAGAGAAACCCTATCATTGTAATCAATGTGGAAAAGCTTTCAGTCAGAGACAAAATCTCCTTGAACATGAAAAAATTCATACTGGAGAGAAACCATTTAAATGTAATGAATGCGGTAAAGCCTTCTCTCGAATCTCATCCCTTACTCTTCACGTTAGAAGTCATACAGGGGAGAAACCGTATGAATGTAATAAATGTGGAAAAGCCTTCTCTCAATGCTCATTACTTATAATACATATGAGAATTCACACCGGTGAGAAACCTTTTGAATGTAATGAATGCGGGAAAGCATTCTCTCAAAGAGCATCCCTTTCTATACATAAGAGAGGTCATACAGGTGAGAAACGCCGAGTATACTAAATGAATAAAGGCCTTCTCTTAAATTCAATCCATGCTTTACTTAACTTTAAAATATCTTGGCATAGTCTCAAAAAATGAAAAAGATCTTTATGAAAAAATTGTAAAGCTTTGTTGAAGGGCAAAAGACTTGAGTAAATGGAGGGAAATACAACGGATGTAGATGGAAAAACCCAATATCATAAAATGTCTTTTCTCCCCAAATTAATCTATGGACCTAATATAGTTCCAAACATCTAACAAGAATTTTCTAGGGTCTTTACCAAATGATTCTAAAATCCATATGAAATAAAAGTCTATGGATTGCTGAGAAAATATTGAATAAGAACAGAGAGGACACACCTTCTACTATATACTACACTTATTATGAAGTTATGGTCATATAATAGTGTGTGGTATTAGAACATTAATGGATAAATAAAAAGGATTTACAGAATAGAATGCCTAGAAGTAAATGGATGAATATATGCCAGCTTGTTATATATATATATTAGACATGATATCGTGAATCAGTAGAAGAATGATGGCCTAGTCAATAAATACAGTTGGGAGTATTTGAATCTCCATATTGGGGAAAATAAAATTACATACAACCTTACAACATATAAAGAAAAAGAATTCCAAAGGATTTGAACACTGAAATGTGAAAAGCCAAACTCTGAACTTCTTGAAAGGAAATAACAGGATATTGTCTGTGACTTTGAGGCAGGGAAATATTTTTTAAAAGGACCCTGCCTTTCCACTTCTGGATATACATCCTAAAGAAATTCATAAATATGAATAAAAAATATATATATTTATGAATTGAAAACAATATATATATTGAAGGGATAATGGATGAATAAAATGTGATATATTCAAATAATGGAATGGTATACAGCAGTTAAAAGAAATGAGCTTGGTCTGTATTGTGTAACATGGTTGTTATCTAAAATAATGTTGAGTGAAAAAAAATCAAGATCCAGATGAAACATACCATATAATAACATTCATGTAAATTGGAGTGAAATCATTCACAAAGAATAGAATTGTTTTTATTATTGAAATATGTATGTAAAACTATTTTAAATGGATTAAAAAGGACACATACCAAATTGTTGATAGTGTTGTCTCTGGCAGGAGATTAGGATTGAGGGTGTTGGTCAAAGGGGGCTTTTAGCTTTACTTGTAATTTTTATGCCTTAAAAAAAGATGGGTAGCATATAAAATAAATCTTAAAACTTAATGATACACAATGGTGATATGGATGTCTTATCTTAATAGTGTTTTTGTACTTATTTCTCAGGATTTATGGGCTAGGGGAAGCCTATACCCAGAGGATAAAATGTTACAATGGATTCATATGCCCTATCAGGTGCTGAACTATTTTTTGAAAAATATTTCCAGAAAAGTAGTAATTAAAAGTGATAGTTCCGGGCTTCCCTGGTGGCGCAGTGGTTGAGAGTCCGCCTGTTGCTGCAGGGCACACGGGTTCATGCCCCGGTCCGGGAAGATCCCACATGCCGCGGAGCGGTTGGGCCCGTGAGCCATGGCCGCTGGGCCTGCGCTTCCGGAGCCTGTGCTCCGCAATGGGGGAGGCCACAACAGTGAGAGGCCCGCGCACCGCAAAAAAAAAAAAAAAAAAAGGGATAGTTCTGTTTACTATATAATATGAAGTTAACATGTTTTATCAATCCCATGTTGCTTTTTTCCCCCACATTTTCACATTCTGAATTTAGAACTCAGTTTTTAACCAAGTATATCTTAGATTCAAGGAAGTATATAATTATTTTTTAAAAATTTGAAAATCAGAGGGCAGTGTGACAAATCAAATGTGATTTTATTTACTATTTTAGGCCATCATCAAGGTCTAATGATACCTACTCTCTTAATGTGTCTTGCTGACGTCTTTTGAATTTTCTGGTCGATTTACGACCCCAGGATTTTTTTTTGATGGCAGGTGTCATTTACAGGCCTGCAATTATTTTGAATATTAAGTGACCATTAGCGCTGGGTTTAAAGCTGCTGTTGTGTGAAACGGCCAGAAGGCGGCAGCATTTCTCCTTACCAAATCTGGTTACTAGGGCAACAGAGCCATAATGGAAGTTGTGCTGTAAGTTGTAAATTAGGACAGAAAGTGCCAGGAAAAGCCCCTTAAGATTATGTCTCATTACTTCTTGTTCGTTTTTTGTGTGTGTGTGTGTGGTACGCGGGCCTCTCACTGTTGTGGCCCCTCCCGTTGCGGAGCACAGGCTCCGGACGCGCAGGCCCAGCGGCCATGGCTCACGGACCCAGCCACTCCGCGGCATGTGGCATCTTCCCGGACCGGGGCACGAACCTGGGTCCCCTGCATCGGCAGGCGGACTCTCAACCACTGTACCACCAGGGAAGCCCTTGTTCGTTTTTTAATTTAATTTTTATTTTTTATCACAGCCAATTTGATTACACTGTTTTGTTTGTTCTAGGTGTGCAAGATGTGGTTCTTTACTATTTTAGGGCGTCATCAAGGTCGAATGATCCCTACTCTCTCAATGTGTCTTGCATTATTTGGCCACTGACTTGTTGGATTCATAGCTAATAAGTTAGTAATATGCTTAGAGTTATTGTGGAGAAAAAAAGATTTTCCTGAGAAATTAACTCTACAATATTAGTCTTGTACTGTAAGTTTCCATACAACCAGCATAGGCATTAATATCATTGTTAATTGTTACAATATTTTGAAACAAGAAAGCCTTTTATAGGCCGTTTTAAAATATTTATTTATTTATTTATTTATTTATTTATTTACTTGGCTGCATCGGGTCTTAGTTGCGACACACAGGATCTTCAACGAGGCATGTGGGATCTTTTGTTGCAGTGAGCGGGCTCCAGAGCACATGGGCTCTCTAGTTGTGGCACGCGGGGTCTCTAGTTGTGGCACACAGGCTCTAGAGTGCATGCTTAGTAGTTGCAGTGCACGCCTCGTGGGATCTTAGTTCCCCAACCAGGGATTGAACCGTACCCACGTCCCTTGCATTGGAAGGCAGATTCTTAACCACTGGACCACCAGTCCCAAGAAAGACTTCTATTTTCTTGAGGTGGCCATGAACAATTATGTAAAATTGCTTCACTCTTCTACAACCCTTGTTTTATGTACCTATCTAGTTTTGGTTGGAAGCAGTGGTGGTCTAAGCCCCTGAGTAGTAATAAGAGTTTCGCTCAAAGGATCTCATTCTCTGTAACAATACATGAATCACCCCTTCAGGTAATTTTTTTTTTTTAATTATACCACCTCTACAATATTACTTGGCATACAGAAAACCATTAGTGCCTTTTTAAAAACATGATTAGGATTGGCGATGTTGTTCAAAAGGAATCTTTAGGTTTGAATGTTTGAATGTCAGCCGCATTTATTTTAAAGCTGATTTCACAAAGCTAAATCTTTCTCAAACTAAATTTATGAAGTACAAACATGAGTAATGTCAATTTTACTTTTATTAGCTATTTCTGAAGACTGACAGTGACTTATAATTGTAAATAGCAGGTGCTGATTTTTATGAAATCAGTTTACCAAAACTTAAGTATCTAAATGAGTGTTGTAATTTCATAATCTCTTCTTTCATAGGTTTTGTGCTAAGTCCAATTTTGCCAGCACACTTTTTTGTAGACTTCTTTTTTAAAATATAGTTTTCAAAGTTCATGTGTTATATACATAACAAGATCTGTATATTTTTAGTTGCAAAACTTTTTTTGTGGTCTAAACTGTCAGTTTTCACTCTGATTTTCTTCTTTTTTAAAATAATTAATTTTTATTTTTGGCTGCATTGGGTCTTTGTTGCTGCGTGCCAGCTTTCTCTAGTTGGGGCGAGCAGGGGCTAATCTTCATTGCAGTGCACAGGCTTCTTTTTGCGGTGGTTCTCTTGCTGCAGAGCACGGGCTCTAGGCGCACGGGCTTCAGTATTTGTGGCACATGGGCTCAGTAGTTGTGGCTCGCAGGCTCTAGAGTACAGGCTCAGTAGTTGTGGCACACAGGCTTAATTGCTCCACAGCATGTGGGATCTTCCCGGACCAGGGCTCGAACCTGTGTCGCCTGCATTGGCAGGTGCATTCTTAACCACTGTGCCACCAGGGAAGTCTCCTGATTTTCTCCTTCATGTTTTTTATTTTCATTTTTGTTTGTTCATTTTTTGCTGTACCATGCATCTTGCGAGATCTTAGTTCCCCGGCAGTGAAAGCACAGAGTCCTAACCACTGGACTGCCAGGGAATTCCCAAATCTTCATGTTTTTTTATTTGGCTCATATCTCATTTAAATCTTCTGCCCCTTTACATAGCTTTGGAGTCAACAGAAAATTTTAAAATTTCACCTGCAGTCCATAAGGACTACCTTAGGGGCCTCTTTTAGCATCTCCCACTAAGAGTGGCTGTGCTTATTGGGTGAGATAAAGTGCCTGAGAGTAAACCTGAATCTCAAGTCTAGGAAGGCTGTTCTGCTGACTATATATCAACAAGAAAGTGTTCTAGTCTCTAAGTTTTTTCCCTGTCCTAAGGAATAGAAATAAGGTCTAAGCGACTGAGATAACATCTGAAAAAAAATCGTTAATCAAATTACGATAAATCCCTCTCCACTTGGACGCATGTGAACTGCTGCCTGGAGAATTTCCATTCTAGGTTTCAGACTTGATTTGAAGTTTGCTGATATGAAAGATGAGGAAAAGAGAGATAAAGGATAGTTCTTACATTTTTGTGGAGAGCAACAGCTGGGTGGTCGCCATTTGCTAAAAATGCAGCAGACTAGGGAGAAACATTTTAGAGTAAAGATTGGAGGATGGAATCGAGTTCTATTGTGGGCATTCTTTTACCTTGTATCTGCCAGAAACAGACCTTAAGATGAGGATTCCTATGCAAGTGGTTTATTAAGGAAGTTCTCCCAGTAAGAATGGTAAGGGCATGAAGAAGCAGGACAGTAAAGAGGAAGTTAAGGGTGTGATCTCAGCTGTAGTCCTGCCATGGGTCGTTTCAGCCCGACCACTAAGGAAACTCTAG